CACACACACACACACAATGGAGTATTACTCAGCAATCAAAAAGAATGAAATCTTGCCATTTGCAACTACATGGATGGAACTAGAGAGTATTATGCTAAGCGAAATTAGTCAAAGAAAGACAAATATCATATGACTTTACTCATATGAGAACTTTAAGAGACAAAACAGATGAACATAAGGGAAGGGAAACAAAAATAATACAAAAACAGGGAGGGAGATAAAACATAAGAGACTCATAAATATGGAGACCAAACAGAGGGTTACTGGAGGAGATGTGGGAGGGGGGATGGGCTAAATGGGTAAGGGGCACTAAGGAATCTACTCCTGAAATCACTGTTGCACTGTATGCTAACTAATTTGGATGTAAATTTTAAAAATAAAGTTAAAATTAAAAAAATGTAATGTTTTCAGTAGTCATATGGTGGTAGTATTTGTCTTATTTTAGGGTGGCTGTTTGTGACTGTGTGCAATAAATGATTAAAACAAGTAAGTAATTTTGGGGTATTCTAATTCTACCAACCCTATACCCTTGAGAATGAGTATTCTTAGTTTAGAAGAAAGGAGATATAAATGTAATATAGAAAAGATTAAGTAAAAATTCTTTGGCTCTGAATTTGAAAGTATCAGCATCAAATCATGAGGTATATTAGCTTTAAATACACACACTCTAGCTCTGTCCACTATAAAAGCCTAGAAACAAAATACTCAGTAGTGATGAACATTTTTAACACTCTGATTGTGGTTCTGAAATACTATTTCCCACTAAAAGAAACTAGGGCTTTTTGAAGAAATAGCTATCTGATTCTAGATCTGGGGCAAGAAATGTACAAGATGAATCTAGAGTAATTTAATGTGTCAGACAGCAAGAAAGCTATCAAAGATTATTAGGTCTATGTCAAAAGAATTTAGGAACCACCCTGAAGAGACTACTACCCCAGAAGACTATTGGCCCACTACTATGGGTTCATAATAATATTTTTCAAAAGAAATCAACTGGTCAAGTTTGGAGGATAACAGACTAATTCAATAAACTGAACACTAGTAAATAAAAATCAGTGTCAAAATTTTTAAAAATTGGATAAACAGAATCAAGCACTTCTTCTGCCTTTCTTAAATGAACTGAAGCAGAGTAACCAAATAATTGATAAGGGAATCACCTTTATAAAAACATTCCAAAGAATAAATGGAAGAAGAATGATACAGTTAAAATATCACCGTTTTGCACTCAACCATCAATGAATTAATAAATGTAGTCATATAAATGTAGCATCAACATTTGCTAATACCACAAAAAGAGAGACAATTAGAAGGAAGCTGATGGAAGATCACAATGCCATACAGTCTTGCCAAAGGGATCAAACCTAAGATCAAACCTTGCTAAAAGGATTAATCCTCAGGTCAAGCCTCTGGATCCACCTGACAATTTGCAGGAAATAAATAGAACATGGTGAACCACATTATGAGTAATCAATCAGCAAAAAGCCCAGGTTCCTGAGCAAAAACATTGAAGGAAAAGAAATAAATGGAGGGGAACCCATAGATTGATTTAAAAGACATCGTGTGTGTGTGTGTGTGTGTGTGTGTGTTTAGACGGGGGGGGGGGGGAGGAGGGGAGGCGGAAGGAGAGGAAGGTCAAAGGAAGGAAGAAAGAATCGTAAGCAACCTCCACACCATAAACCCTCCTGATCTCATGACGTGATACAGCACCGATCATGACCTAAGCCGAAATCAACAGTCAGACGTTTAATCAATATTACCAAAATTTAAAGACATATTTTTTTTTTAAATAGGCAAGACAGTGTCTACAGTGTCTAGAGATACACACCTGGGTGACACAACAACAAAGAAATGCAAGGAAGTGATTACTCTGAAAGTCAGCTTAGTGATTACGTAGGAGAGGAGGACAGGGGTAATGACCAAAACATGAAAGGGCCATTCTGAGTGGCTGGTAGTTTTACTTCTTTACCTGGGTAAGATGAGAAGAAAATTTATTTTATAATAATTCATTAAGCCTGACATTTGTTTATATGTCTTTCTGTATCTATTTAATAATAAATGTTTTAAATTAAAGTTACCTGCACATGACACAAAGTTCAAAACGAATAAAAGGGTATATATAAATTGAAAAGTATGTCTCCTTCCCACTCCTGAGGCCAGACACCCTAGCTCTACTTTCTAGAGGCAACTACTGATGCTACTTCCTTTTGCATCCTTTCCAAAGATTGAATAATTATTTTTAAGGGATAAACACATGCTACAGCATTTTAAGACAAAGTAGTTTTAATGTAAAAGATATGATTATTACATACCTCTTCAAAGAGACATAAAGCTGCCTCATAGAGTGAGCACAAGCCATCAGATGTTCTGGTTGGTTCCCTCCACTGACTTCGATCAGCAGATGAACCCTACAGTTTCAGGAGACATATGTATTAAAATCACTTAAGTATTCCACAAAAATACCTGAGGAATTGTTTATATGATTATGCATATTAAGATCAAATCCTAACACTAGGTCATGAAACCAACTTTTATATAGAAGTGTTATAAAAGAAAGAGCTATAGAGTGAAACACTAAATTAAGTGCCAATTCCTCAATGATTACCCTATTCAATAATCATAGGGCCTGACCCAGAAAATAGTCAAGGAGGCAGAATTTTACTAATCACATATTCTTTGAGTGGCCAATATCCAGTAAATGAGGCCCCAGGAAATATTCTACTCTCCTGGGGCTGCCTTGCCCACCTGTCTCCAAGGATACAGCAAGTAGAACATAGCGAGCTTGAGTGATGACCTTGACCAGAGCAGCAGAAAGTCTGTTCCTCCCTTCTTAGTTTCAGCAAAACTAAAGTCTCACAAATCAGTTCATCAGTCTCACAAATCAGTGCTGACTACACTAGCAACAAAGCATCTTTCTCCTATCACAGCTGAAGAATCGTAGACCTCTCTGGGACTCTACAGAAGGGCCCAATGGCTGTGACAAGAAATCATTCCATCATTAAAAAACGACAAACCAGAAAGTGAACTTGATCTCACTGCTCCCTCAAATTCTCAAATACTTAAATCTTTAGACCACAAATGTCAAGTTCTTTCTCTGGTTTAACAATTCTTTAATCATGAAATTTTCATAAGTAGCTTTATTTCAAAGGATTCTGTACTGTAAAAATATTTATATTCTAGATGATAAACTGGCAGATATATGATAGGAAAGTGTGTCTTTTATTACGGAAGGGAGGCTGGCCCTATAAGATCCCATTTATCAATATCAATTTTATTAATTCAAACTATTTTAATCAACATGATTCCTAAGTAATTAAACAAATGAATATGTTGGCTATTTAAGTTATGGCTAGTTTATTAGGTACTAACCTGCTGCCACCAAATCAATTTTTATCTATTTAAGATGGTGCTTCTCAAATTTTAATAGGGACATGAATTATCTGGAGATTATGTTAAAGCACAGATTCCAATTCAGTAACTATAGATAGGGTCTAAGGTTCTGCATTTCTAACAAGCTCCCGGGTTATGCCAATGCTGCTACCTGAGGCTTACTCTTTGAGTAGTAAAGCTAAAGAGAGCCAGCCACTTGTAGGTCTGGAATCATACCAGAAAGTGAGTGTTCAAAATTAACTAGCACCTAGATATACAAGGTGCTGCGATCTCAGCAAATACTTTGGGGCACAGATTCAACGAATTCCATCATTAGCTGTGCAGAACTTCTGAGGAAAACACAAGTGTAATCTATGGTTCCGTTATTTAAAGGCCATCTCAAGTGATCTTCAAATCAAAAGCAGATGAAGAAGTAGACTGCTGCACCTTCCTAGGAGCTGGTACCAGAGCCATTATAATCCTCTTTTTTATGCCTTTCTACAATATGGAGGAAAATGTTGAAAACCACATGAAGTTTTCAGTAACAGATCTGGGTTTAAATCCAGGCTCCATCACCTATTGGATGTGTTAATGAAGGATAAGTTTCCCTATCCTTAGACAAGAATAATGCAGATATTATTTAGGTTTGTTGGGAAGATTAAATAGAGTTATGTATAAAACATGCTTAGCACAGCTCCTAGTATATAATAACAACTCAAAACTGGTAGCAGTAATTAATTTGCATCATGTACACTGAGAAAGAAAATACAAGAAATCTTTAATAAATTCTTTCTAAATTTGAAAATACCAAACCAACAAAACATCCTTCAAACACTGTCACTGATTTCTGTCCTTCCCAATACAGTCAATACAGTACTCTCCCCTCTCCCCAATCCACAGTTTGACTTTCTGCAGTTTCAGTTACCCAAGGTCAATAGCAGTCCAGAAGCAGATGCTCCTCTTTCTGACATAGTCAGAAGGTCAACAGTAGCTTAATGCTAGGTCACACTACCTGCTCATTCCCCTCACTTTCTCTCATCAGCATTGTATCATCTCACATCATCACAAGAAGGGTGAGTGCAGTACATTAAGACATTTTGAAAGAGAAACCAGATTCACGTAACTTTTATTACAGTATATTGTTATAATAGCACTATTATTGTTGTTAGTCTCTTACTGTGCCTAATTTATAAATTATATCATATGTATGCATGTACAGGAAAAACCGCAGTACACATAAGGTTCGCAGCACTATCTGCAGTTTCAGGCTTCTACTGGGGGGGTCTTGGAACATAGCCCCCAGGGATAGGGGGGGATAATGTAGTTAAGACTGAGACTACTCCAGCTCCAGTCAGTCAGTAAGGATTAAAGACATCTCTAAAACCCATTCTGTACAGAATTCTTAATGTAAATAAGAAAACAATACTATCCCTAAGTATTTTTTAAACAACTAAATTTTGGAAAATATAGCACATGAAATGTGTAACTTTATACACTGTTAACATATCACAGGAATTTCAATGGTATAAAGATAAGTGGAAATTAAAATAACAAATTCATGATTTCATAGGTCTTCATTTAATTACCCACCTCTTAAGCATCTACTATCAAAAATAATGTTATACCTTTTTTTTCCACATTCATCTTTTTAAGATATTCTGACAAGAACATAATATCCAGGTACTGGATAGAGTACCTTTCCACATATTCTTGCTATCTGGTTTGACTCCACTTAAAATTGCTTCAATGACTCCCCACTGCCTATAGCACTAATTTTCACTGCATAGCATGAGATACAAGGCCCTGCCTACTTAGCAGCTTTATCTCATCCCATTCCACCCCATACAAGCAGGGGCTTGCTCTCCTACACCTTGGTCACTTTGTGAATTCTGGTCCTTTCATCTGAAAACTTCTCCAGCTACCTCCACTTACACATTTCACGTTTGCAGGCAAACTCTACTTTCCAACTAAACTCAGGGATCCTTCCTCCACAAGGCATTTTCCGCCCCTTCCCTCCAGCTCTCCTCCTGTGTCCCATCACCTCCTCTCTGTGCAGACTTCTACTACAGCTCATTATCTTTAATTTGAAATGTTTGTGCATCTCTCTTTCCTTAAACTGTGAGTTGGCTGAGGGCATGGACGCTACAAAGCTCATTTATCTTTTTAACTCAGTGCCTGACACCATCTGGCACACAGTGTTAAATAAACACGAAGTGGCATCAAAGGCCAATGGTGTTTTAACTGTTGTTTATTCTTTTAGAATTCAGAGATATACAATGACATTTTTTCCCTACTCTCTATTTAAATATAAGGTCATGAATATCTTGTGGACTCCCATTCAAACAATTACTACACATGTGTTATCACTGAAGGTTAAGAATCACACAAGTAAATAAAATTTATGGATTGAACTTATTTTTGTTAGGCCTTACATCAGATACTCAGTTAATGGTTATGTGTCTCTCTCTTTCACTTCTAACTTGGGTGGTGACTTTTGTCCCAGTTGTTCAGGGGTAGAGAAACTTAAGGCAGGGAGGATCAGGTCAAGTTGGGGTCCAGTGTACAAGGAGTGGATACACCAATTTTCCAAATTCTCAGACAACACTGTAAAGTGTAAGAAACGTGAGTTCTGAAGACCAAGAGCATCAGACTCTATCACTTACTGTGCAAGAAGGAATAATAAACATAAAATTCAACTAAATAACCCTTCCTTCCCTCTAAAGCCAATCTGAAATTAAATTAAATTCAATCTAATATAGGTCTCTGGTGATGTTAGGAGAGCCAAACTAAATCAAATATACAAGATTCTTCCCCAGAACAGATCCAGATTTCTGTCAAAAGCAATCTAGTTTTCCGAGGTGCCCTCATTACAATAAGGAGCTATATCATAGGGTATAAACTTGGAAGTTATGGAGGGAGGCCCCTTCTGACTAGGTGTATTTGACATTTTATCCAGGAATGAAAGAGGTAAAGTGAAGAGAAAACTGGAAATCCAACAATAATGTAAACTTATTGTATTTTAGATCTACTTTAAGGTAGGCCTTCACAGGAAAAAAAATGAATAAACTTAACATAAATACAATACATGGTCTGCAAAGACAGACTTGGAGTAAGAAATAAATAATGAAGTGTCTGCCCCATAAGTACTTAATCAGTATATGTTTCACTTCTAGTTCTTTTTGCCAAACGTGTAAATTTAGGTAACTGTCACAGTTTCTTCTTCCTTAAAATAAGGATAAATTATATCTACCTCATGATTATCATGATAATTGAATCACAGGATGCATCCAAAGCACCTTGTTGTTAGCAGGTACTCAACAAAGGCTAACTCTCTTCTTCCTTAATTGCAGGTATTGGGGAGCAGTAAATAAAAGAAGTCAAAAAAGGAATAAGATGGTTTATTACAGATTAAATTGAAGGCAGATTTATAGTACATACCAAAGAACGCCTCATCTGCATTAATATAGTCATAAAGCAGTCAAAGCTGATCATTCCTTCCTGGCTTGATAGTAGTTTGCTTTTCTCCATGGAATTTACAACCGCTGAAGCCCCCAAAGCCATTTCTATCCATTCAAGAAGGTACCGCAAAGAGCCTCGCTGAGCTGCTAAACCAAGTAGCAACTCAGAAGCTAATCTGCGACCTAAAGTGTCTGCCCCAGAATTGGGAATAGTTACTCCTTTAAGAAATGTTGTCACTTGTGATAAGCAGTCCAAACCCATTGGAGGAATCTTGCTTTCATTTGCTAAAGATAATGGTGGCAAAGAGCTGACAACTTCAATTGCAGTATGAATAACGTCGTTGCAAAGACTAAGACCAGGTCCTGACACAGGCATCATCCAACTTTGTCTTAGAAGTGCAAATAATAAACTTAGACCAGTTCGAACACCCATTTCTATAAGTGCATCAGTGCTTGACCGGGGACGTTCACTAACAGAATGGACATCTGCTGAACCAGAGCTGCTCTCCGGAGAATGCTGCTGCTGTTTCACTTTGCCTTTGTCATGGTATTTATTAGAAAGTGCATAAAAGACACGCTGGAGTACAAGCAGTCGTTTTCGAAGTGCCCCAGCAAATGGGGAATCTGAACATACCATCTTCGCTAGTGCTAGCTGGCTGCTAAGAAGGGCATCCAAATAGTGGTCCTGCTCATCACTTGAAAGAGACTCACGTTCAAAGTCTGGCAACTGTGGTCCTTTGAGGCACAAAACTTGTTGGGGCAAAGGTACTACTTCTTTATTGCTGACCAGTTTAGAATACAGAACAGCAACTCCCTCTCTTGTAGCAATAGATTCACTATCCTCTGTAATCCAGGAGCTGTTCAGGTGTTCAAGCCATTTCAGTTTCACTGGTGGAACCATAGTTGCCATGTTGGTTTACTCTTCAGCCATTAGTTCTATAAAGGGAGATGAAAAAGCAGTCAAAAACTTACACAATTGATTCATAAAATGTTTCTGAACTTCCATCTTACATTACAATTAGTGATTTCAAACTGGTGAGACAAAGTCTGAACTGGAATTAATAGCAATGTACCAATGTTAGTATTTTAGCTTTGATAAGTGTACTATAGTTATCTAAGATGCTAATATTAAGGGAAAATGGGTAAAGGGCATAGGAGAACCCTGCACAATCTTTGCAACTTTTGTGTAAACCTAAAATTACCCCAAAATAAAGTTTATTATTAAAAATTAGTGATTTGTGTGCCTCTTCTCTTCAAGTTCTGGCCCCACTGTCAGTATAACAGTGGGTTCTACATGCTCATGACCCCCAAATTCCTATCTCCAACCCAGAACTCTTCCCTGAACTCCAAATTCATATATACAATTCCTCACATCATCACTCCATATAGATATCTATAGGCATCTCAACATATTTAAAACCGAATTCCTAATCCACCACTACCGCCATGCCCACCCAAACCCATTTCTCCTATAAACTTCCTTATCTCATAAATGGCAACTCTATCCTTCTGCTCCTCTGGACAAAAATCTTGGGAGTCACCACTGATTCCTCCCTCTCTTACACAACAAATCAGTCAGCACTACTTACAAGTACCTCCAAGAATCCAAACAGCCACTCCCTTACTAAAACCTGCCCCAAGCTATCATCTCTTGGATCATTGAAGGAGCCTTCTTACCAGTCTCTCTCACTGTACAGAGGAATCACAGTGACTCCAAAAGGGTAAAAATGTTTTTTGTGTATTTTGTTTACTACCATATTCCAACACATAGTAAGTGCTCCGTGAGTATTTGTAGGGAAAAAAAGTACTTAAAAACTAAGTCCTATGAGATAAAGTATTCACAAAACATACATCCCACAAAGGACGGGCATCCAAGATACATAAAGAACTCCTACAACTCAAAAATAAAAAGACAATTTAATTTTTATTTTTATTTATTTTTTTTTTTAAAGTTTTTTTCAACGTTTATTTATTTGTGGGACAGAGAGAGACAGAGCATGAACGGGGGAGGGGCAGAGAGAGAGGGAGACACAGAATCCGAAACAGGCTCCAGGCTCTGAGCCATCAGCCCAGAGCCCGACGCGGGGCTCGAACTCACGGACCGCGAGATCGTGACCTGGTTGAAGTCGGACGCTCAACCGACTGCGCCACCCAGGCGCCCCGACAATTTAATTTTTAAAAAGGCCAAAAGACTGAACACAACTTCATAGAAGATTTATGAATGGTTGATAAGCACGAGAGAAGTGCTCAAAATTATTATTTATCAGAAAAATGCAAGTTAAAAACACATCCATAGGAGATACTATTACACATCCTTAAGCATGGCTGAAATTCATAAGACTAACAATACCAAACGTTAGCATGGATGTAGAGTAACCAAAACTCTCACAAATCGTTTGCAGGAGTGTAAAATGGAACAACCACTTCAGACAACCACTGATAGTTTCTTATAAAACTAAAAATATCCCTACTCGATGACCCAACAATTTCTTTCCTAGGGATTTACCTAAAAGAAAACATATGTCCATAAAACAGACTTAAATAAAAATATGGTTACCGCTAGAAGGTAAAGACATGAATAAACTGGGAAGGAGCATGAAGGAGCTTCCTGAGGTGAATATTGGATTACCCAAGCATATCCATTTCTCAAAGCTCAGTAAACATACATTTAAGATTTTTACATTTCACTGAATGTGAATTTTATCTCAATAAACAATGAATTCTAGTTGATATGCATACTGAAGTATATTTAGGGGGCAAGTATACTGATGTAATTTATTTTGAAATGCATCAAAAATTGAGATGCACTGATGTATATCTTTATATATATATATATATATATATATATATCTTTATACATATCTATATATATATGATAGGTATGTGATAAAACAAAAATAGTAAATTAGTAATGGTAGAATCTCAGTGGCAAGTATATGTCTGTTCATTTCAAAATCTTTCAACTGTGGGGAGCACCTGGCTGGCTCAGTTGGTACAGCATGCGACTCTTGATCTCAGGGTTGTAAATTCACATTCTACCTTGGGTTTAGAGATTACTTTAAAAAATCTTTAGGGACACTGGCTGGCTCAGTCGGTGGAACACAGGACTCTCATTCTTAGGGTTGTGGGTTCTAATCCCACATTGCGTGTAGAGATTACTTATGTTTGCAATTTTCATCATAAATTACTGCAGGGGAGGTGGAGACTAAGTCTGCAAAAAGGAAGTCATTACAGTTGGTAGTAGAAGAACATCCTCAAATACTGAAGGGCAAGTTGGTAGAACATCCTCAAATACTGAAGGGCATTTCATTTTCATGATATAGGTAAATCTTCAAGAAAAAGCTCATGTTATAGAGATCCTAGGCCATCTAAAGGAGTTTCTTATTTCTCAGTATGCCCTGTTAAATTCTAAATATAAAATCTGATGACACTTCCCTTCTCAAGCTTATGATTACTATGCTTAATTATCTTCATTATATACTCAAAGTATGTACTTAGGAAGGGGGGGAAAACATAAGCCTCCTCCCACTTCATTTGGTAATTATTAAACATTGTGCAGAGGATATAAAAGCACCTTATTTACCTTCATCCCTGCAACCCATAGGTAATTTTGTTCTTTTTAATTTTGCTAGTTTGATAGCTATAAAGGGATATGTTGTTGCTCTAACTTCAATTTCCCTGATTACTAATAAATCTGAACAGCTTATGTTTATTGATCATTTCACTACACTCTTCTGGGAAATGTTTGTTCGTGTCCTTCTAGTCACGTATTTTTCTATCAGGTTATCTTGTCAACTTGTGAAAGGTTTCTGTATCCTATCAATGTCCTCAAAATACAAATATTTCTTCTAAATCTTTTTACATACACATACATCTCTTTTATAGCTCTTGCTTTCCATCTTCAGTTAAAAGAGTACCCACACACACTCATACCCAGATTACACATGAATTCTGGATTATGTATTCACCTGGACTTTCTTGAGGTATTTTTGTTGTTTTTACACCGGTCTTTAATCCACATGGAATTTAAATAAACTCTGCATTCATTTGGAACTGTAACAAGCTCTACATGTAAAAGTGGTTCCAAGTTTACTGTTTCCAGGTGTATGGCCAGTTATACCACCACAATTTAAGTAATCCAGGACTTCCAAGATGGCTGAGGCCAATGCAAGCTGAATGAGTATTTCCCCAAATTTCTTTCCATAACAAGAAGGAAAAATTCTATTCTACACAAAACCACACACACAGCATAATTTGAAGATACAGAATTTGAAGAAGCAAACTGCAAAGTAACTGTGAATAAAACAGAAAAATCACCAATCTCAGTGTACACACTGTTACTTTGAGGTTTTGTGGAAGCAAAAGCAGACTAAGAAAAACTGTACAAAAGACAAAAAAGGAAGTACAGTGAAAGGGCCCACAGGTGATTTGGAATGACTGCCAAAGAAGTTATATCCACACTAAATCTGAAAACACTACAAATGTGTCCAGACAAATCACAGACTACAGGAACTGATTTAATTTAAAGAGTCAGACGGGATTTAAATGAGCAGGTACAATTTTAAAAAGACGGGTAATTTAAACGAGCATTCCTGGAAAAGCAGAGGGGAGGGAAAAAAAGACAAACAGGAAGAGAGAATCATCTTTTTGGCAACTGGGTGAAGGGTAAAAGAAAAAAGGAGGAAATGTTTACGGTTCTGAGAGAGAGGACAACCATAAAATTGTCAACATTAACAAAACTTCACTCAAACAAACCAACCAAAAAATCCCTCTAAAGTACTTGGACTTTGCTATATTAACAGAAGAGGGTGACATTAAATTAAGAATATTATAAAATACCCAATACCATAAAAATGAACAAGAGAAAAGTCCATACAAAGCTACTGTAGAAAATCAAGAAAGAAAATTTCACATATAACTGATAGAAATCTTTCAGACAACAAAAAAACAAACAAAAAAAATACAAGTTAATAATCTAAACAAAATTAAACACACTGAAACATACGAAGGTACAAAAAAAATCTGAATTGGAAATTTAAAAACAAAGCAAGAACAGACTAACAAAAAAAGGTTTAAAAAAAAGGAAAGGAAAGAGAACACAAGGGAAGGAAGGGAAAGAAAGGAAATCATAAAAGAGGGGCACCTGGGTGGCTCAACTGGTTAAGCATCTAACTCTTGATTTCATCTCAGGTCATGATCTCAAGTTTGTGAGTTCAAGCCCTGCATTAGGCTCTGCACTGACAGCCTGAAGCCTGCTTGGGATTCTCTCTTTCCCTCTCTGCCCCTCCCCGACTTGTGCTCTCTCAAAATAAACAAATAAATAAATAAAATGACATAAAAGAAAATAAAGAGTCAGAGAGAAATTAGCAGAAACAGAAGACAGGCAAAGGAGGACAGTTGTACTATTAACTACCTGAAGAAGTTTAAGAGAGAGTGTGCAAGCTGGTTTTAAAGCTACAAGCCAAGAAATCTCACCAGAAACAAAGAATTTCAATCAACACAATAAGGGCTCACAATTACCTGGGAAAATTATCCCAGAACAATCAGTTTTAGGACATTAACCTAGTTAAACTATTAGATTTCAAAGATAAAGATAAATAATCCTCAAGACCTCCAGGCAAAAAGATTCAATAACTTTAAAAGGCAAAAGAATTAGGGGTGCCTGGCTGACTCAGGCGGTAGGGCATGTGACTCTTGATGTCAGGGTGAGCCCCATGTTGGATGTAGAGATTACTTAAAAAAGTAAGTAAAGTAAAAGGCAGAAGAATTAGACTGACATCACATATGTTAAAACCAACCAAATAGCACAGCAACAGCTTTTGTAAAGCAAAAACAAAAACAGGAAATGCAATGAAACAGAACCACACTAATGATGGGAGACTTTAATATACCACTCTCAGTACAGATGGA